TCTTCCAGAACTGTTGAAAAAATAATGGGATTTTTTTTCCCAAAAAGGCAATTGAAAAAAATACATCAATTCAGGAATACTAAAAATACATGCATCTTGCTCTACGCTAATCAAAGAAAACAGAGATCTAAAGGGAAGACCTCATTTTCCGGGTGATACTGGAGAGGCATGGAGAGGTACTTCGTTGCTGTGAAACATTATTAAGAGTAATGAGCAAAAAACATTTAAGAGCAAAAAAATTTCTATGGCACAAAAGAGTTTTAATTTCCTCAAAGACAAAAATCTCTGATACTAAAAAAGCCCAACCAAGCCCGGAAGGTACAGGCGAGCTCCCCGTGTTCAGTTACTTGCACGGCATACAGAAGCCATGTATACTTCTAGGTATTTTCTGGTATTTAGATAGGTAGCAACCCCCATCAACCAGTTTCCAGAACAGATCTGACAAGTCTCTAACTTCAATATACAGATAAGGAGGGACTGAGAAATGATACAACATTTTTTGTAAGAGTTAAACTGCAGAGGCTCTTATCTTCAGCCACCATCTGCTGGCACAGCTCCACTGTAACCAGTGAAACTACTCCAATTTACAAAGGTAGAGAAACGAAGCCCCTCCATTTCATGTCAAAACCTGCCAGAAATATGGTATTTCTTTAAAAAACTAACTTCCAAGGACCATTTGCTTTGGCTGTTCCACTGAATGTTCCCTCAAAGTCTGCAGACATCAACTGTGAAGCGGGATATTCAATGCAAAACTGAATACAACTCTCTCTATTAAGTCCCCACCCCCAGAGGCATGTTGTTCTGTCCCCGCTTCACTGAGATGCCACAACATCATCATGGCACGGTATCAACAAACCCCCGTACAACATATAGCCAAGGATATCTCAGAGTTTATTTTGCTTCGTGTTGTTTTCAAAGATTTACTTTTCTTAAGTTAGAAAATAATTTAATGAAAAATTGAATTTAATTCATCAACGGCATGCTAATGGAATGAGGCAAAATATATTAGTGAAAGCAAAAATAACCGAACAAAAATACAATTTTATGATTAAATAATAGTCAACGCACAATGGAAAAATCTGCAATTTGTACGTTGACTGCAGAGCAAAAAGCAACAAAACCATTATTCTTAAGTTAGAAAATAATTTAATGAAAAATTGAATTTAATTCATCAACGGCATGCTAATGGAATGAGGCAAAATATATTAGTGAAAGCAAAAATAACCGAACAAAAATACAATTTTATGATTAAATAATAGTCAACGCACAATGGAAAAATCTGCAATTTGTACGTTGACTGCAGAGCAAAAAGCAACAAAACCATTATTAAAGATACAGGAATTTAAAAACACAGAGAGCACAGGCAGTCATTAAGAAAAACTGTTTTTAACTAATTCCTTGTAGCAGAACCACATCAGTTCATACTTCCCTGCTCTTCAGGATTTCACTGAACACTGTGCTGTATAAACTAGAAGCTATATAAGGAAAATCCCTTACTTGCTATGCGAAATTGATTGTATTTTCCTTAATATAGTGCATGGGTATTGGTCTTATACCAGCATATTTGAAGAGCTGCATCTATTTCGATAAAAAGGATAGTTAATTGATCAAATTAAGCTGTTGACATATTCAGCACAAAGATGTGGTAACAGATATTAATTTTGAAAAGCTATGCAAATTCCTTAATGTCATTTTTATTCTCTTCCTCAGACTACTTTTCATTTCATCTGTATTAAGACTGAAAAATTTCTAGATCACTTACAAAAATCTGAAAATTCTTTTTAGTTTCTTGTACAAACTGACACTCCAAAAATGTATTGCTTTCGGTTTCCTACTAGATTTCTTGAGATGAAGTCATCATATGCTGAAGAAAAAAATGTATTTTTTTTTAGTTTCAGGACTGAAAAGTTTCACTGAATGGGCTTTAGCCAAGAATCTTGCCTTCTCTAGTTCTTATTCTTGTTTTAGCAGGTGATTACAACGTAAATATTGCAATCAGGAGTTGAAATGAAATCTGCAACTTCAGAGAAATTTACAGATAAAAAGGAAGTTTCTAGTCATGTGCTGAAACGCTCCTCTGCCCACTCAGGGGAAGCGCTGAACATGTATTCATAGGGAAATGAAAATCACGATGTGTGATCTTTAAATGAAAAAATTAAAGACTACAGAAATGTAATTGCACTACAGAATTTATGACTCAGCTTTAAAATGCAAAACGTTTTGAATTAAAATGAAAGACCAAGGCATTTACTTCACTCCCTTCCAAGAGAATCTGATCTTACTTAATTAAAGATATAGACAACTCAATCAAAATATGCAACTCATTTTTCCTCTTGGATAATATTCCTGTTCACATACACTGTAAATGACATCAACTAAGAAATCAGACACTCAAACATACGGCAAATCCATTTTATGTACAGGAAAGCTCCCCAAACTTCACAGCTCAACAAGCAAAAATACTGCACAAGTAATGTGTTTTAAGCAATTTCTATTTTCCTTTGTCTATAGGTCTTAGTTTTAACTTTTCAGCTTCCTGTAGTCAGAAGTACTAATGAAGGCACCTGCAGGCAACATTCTGCCTGCTACCCATGGGATGCCAGGCCTCTGTTCTGTAGGCTCTTCGGTCGTATTTAAATCAGAACTGTCATTAAAAGAATTAAGACCAATGGCATACAATATGGGAAGCGAGATTCTGATCTTTAAGTCAACTAGATGAAAAGCATGACGAGTACTTCAAGGTCCGCTGCATATATATGTATGCACATATATATATATAAAAAAAAGATTTAATTCTTCCCTCATGATCCAGAAATACACATTATGGGCTAAAGAAGTCCAGAGTACTCCATCAAATTGATTAATTTGCTGGCATAGCACATCTTGCCAAAAATTTACATCTGGATGATTCTAAACCATTTCAGATTCAACACCCTTGTAAAATTCATCCCTATGTTTAGGTACAAGCCCAATAACCAGTGATTTCCAGGAGATTTGAAAAGATCATCAATGCACAATGGTGAAGTGGAATGAATGCTAATACTATAAAGCTTCACGTTAAAACTATTGGACTTTTTACATTGTTGTTGATGCTTGCTTTTGAGTAATTAAAAATAAAATACATAAAGTCTATTTGTTGAAAACAACTTAAACCAAATAGTTCCAAGAGCAGACATTCTCATGTAAGTGCTGCAGTTCAGTTATAGGTTCAACAAGGAGTTTAAAAAAACACAAACCCCAAAACAGTAGAGAACATGATCATGAAGGAAGTAAGAGCACTTCACACAACTGTGACATTTTGATGCATTACACAGCAACAGTCAGAGGTACTATCCAAGCCTTCCTGCAACGGTTGAGACTCCCCCCCCCCCCCCCCCAGCCATTACAATCAAAGAAATAACTAAAAGTGGGATATGCTTTTCAGAAACCCTCCAGGGTGATGTTGGAAAGAAAAAAAAAAAAAGTATCTAACATCCTGCCTCAAAAAATGGTATATTATTTGCACGAACCTAAGTAGGCACCAGTCCATTTCCTCTAGAATGATTTGAGGAAAAATGACAAGCTCACAGGTAGTAAGACATGAAAAATGCCAGTAAAAAAATTAAGAATTACTTGGCATCATACAGAGGGATATGTGAAATTCTCCTTCACTTAAAAAGTTTCTTCATCTAATTTAAAGGCTTTTTGGAAATATGCCCTCCCCTAACCACAACAGCTAATGAAAAATGCAAATGGTCATGCCAGATAACATCATTAAAAAATTTTGAACTTGAAATCCCATTGAACAGAGGAATGCAATGAAGCTATCAGAAGTCAGCAAAGCTTCAGAGGTTCAGCAGATATAACTAGTAAATACAGCACGGGGAGAAAGAGAGAAAAACATGGCTTCATAACGAGACCAGAGTACGCCCTCCAAGCAACTACCAAAGCAGCCTACTTCTTCTAAAGCACTGACAAAATTCTCAAACCTATTTAAAATAAATACAGCTTAAATTCCTTGATCTCCCTAACCTTAGGTTTACAGGCAGTTCCTCTAATCTGGCAATACTGAATCACATACAGCATCTCAGTTTCTGCACAGAGGTTTCTTTTGGCTTACTACAAACTATTTTACAGGATAGAGTAGATTCTGATTTACCACTGATTTTTAGAAATGTCTCTTTTGTACACAATATTGCAGCTGAAATGTAAGTTTTTGATTGATGAGACTAAAAAGAGGAAGTAGGTAAGAAGTCTTCCTAATTAAATTCTACCCAACAGCTGTGTTTTTCCTATTGTTTAGTAAATAACATTTGCCAACTTATAAAGCATGAAATGCTACATACTTGAAGCAGAAGAAAGCCACCACCTACTGCAGTTGCTGCAAGCTTTCCGACTTTCTGGAACAAAAATCCCGCACACCTTAGGAGAACAAAACAAAAAAAACCCAGTCCAATGAAGTTGTCTGCTGAACAATGCTGCACTCCAAAATTCCTGACTACAACTATTACTATTTTTTCATTTAACAAAGCAAATGTATCATTTCACATTTTTAAATTTTAAAATCAAAATATTTAATACAAACAATATTTAATTAATAATATCTAACACAAGACAACATGAGTAATGGTTGCTAGTTCATGGCTGTCTGATGGCCCCTTTAAAGTAAGCTTGAGATCTCCAGACGTTGTCTACACTTAAAAGCTGTATGCTGCTTTTAAATGTAGCATGTTAATAAAGCACAATGTAATAATATAAAAGTGCCATTGTAACTGTTCCCAAATGGAAGGTAAATATATTATACCATCATTTATATTAACTACACAACCCATAACTTGAATATCTTGGGTAAAAAGAAGTTACATCCCTACCACAAGAGTTAAAATCAGCGAGGCCCCTCTATGGGGACATGGTTTTAGTCTGTTTTTAATGGATCAAAGCAACCAGAAGATTACTACCTTGTTCGCAGTCTCCAAACACTCCCACATCAAATAGAGAACAGCACAGATACTGATATCATAGAATAGTTTGGGCAGGAAGGGACCTCTGGAGGTCATCTGGTCCAGCCACCTGCCCAAAACTGGGCCAGCTGCAAAGACCGATCCAACCTCCAAGCTCAGTCAGGTTGCTCAGGGTCCTAACTGAGGCAAGTGCTGAATGTTTCCAAGGCTGATGGTTCCGTAATTTCTCTGGGCAACTCTGCCAGTGTCTGACCCACCGCCCCACCCCAGCCCACACACACAGGGGAATTTTTTTCCCCCTGCAAATGAATAGTGAATTCATATTTATATACATTAATACAAACAGAGAGGTATATACATCTACAGACACTGAAATATACAGTTTCCAGATCTTTCAATAAGCCAGTTTTTATGTATGCCAGATGAAGTATTCCCTAGGAGCTTCAGAGTTTATGTATACACATCTAACTTTTAAAAATAATTAAGGCTACAGAGGCAAATAAAAAAACTAGACTGAAAGCTAAGCCTACACTCCTCAAAGCTGTACTAAGCATGGAAATGACATCTTCATTTTCACTCTATTTCATCTTCCAAATCTTGCATAATTCTGTTTTAAAAGTTACTGTGCTACCATATTGTTGTTTTTCAATGAACTTATTTTTTTTAGAATACTGGAATAGACAAATACCATTCAAATACCTTTGACAAAAAAGAAATACCTTGACGTAGCTGCTAAGACCGTGGCCACATTTTCCAGTTTAAGTTCTCATCCTTACTGTCTAGCTTTCACCATGAATTATTTTAGCGTAACTATGCTGTGGTATCTCTTTCCAGTAAACATGAGAGCAGACTGTTAATTTGTTCAAAATGGCTCCAGCTGAATTTAAAGGAAAAAAAGTCTCTACAAAATGGGGCTCTTAATTAAAAGTATATTCTGCCACACATTTTTTTTTTTCTTCATTTCTTTTACCTGTAAAATATCTTAGCCATAATATCATAACTAGGTTTCTAAATCTATGCTAGTAAGGTAATACGGTTTTTCATACAAACAGAAGTTATATGCAGTAATTTTCCATTTATTCTTTGTATTTTTAGAGTTCTGACGTTTCCCCAAATCCTTGTCAGAATAACTAGCACGACTTCCCTTAGCTAACTGGTGTTTTACCAATACTACAAAAAACTTTAGAATGATGAGTCAGAATAACGAGTTAAGAAATTGTTCACGCATGAATAATCTTGATCAATGATAAACAAAATCCCGTTAGAGAAGATACATTTATCTGCTTAAAATAGCCTTGGAAAGGGATCTTCTAAGAACAGTAAAAGGTCTAGCACAGTTATGAAAAGTGATGCTCCCTCACCAGCCAGTGACGCCGCCCATCACAATCTGGGTAGCTACAGAATATTTTTCTACAATTGGTCCTGAATTCCGGCCAAACACACGATTCCACCAATGGTGACGCCGTGCATACTCTGTTAAATCCAACACTTCATAGGAATCATCGTCACTTTCATGTTCTTAAAAAGAAAAAAAAAAAGAAAAAAGTTATTTTCTCAGTTACACAGTAAATTAACATTCTATGTAAAACCCCCAAACATTAACAGAACCGCTTTTGGTATTAACTGGCTAATCCAATGGTTTAAATTGCAGCATACAGGCCACCTGTGGTCCAGCAGCTCACAGCACAAAGGATTTTGAGATTTTATGCCATAATCTTCAAGGTAAGGAAGAGAAAACTATAGAGAAGGTATCATCTATAAAATCCATGACTGGCACAGAAAAGGTGAACAGGAATCTCCTACCTGTTCAAGCACAGAAACCAAGAGGTATCAGATGAAACTAGAAGGTAGCTGCTTCAGCACGAAAAAAGGAAGCCTTCCTCTCCCCTCCTTCACCCCCCGGAAGCCCCGGTTAACCTGTGGAACTGCAGGATACTGTAGATACCTAAAGCTGATGTGGACTCCAAATAACAACAGAACAAATTAAAGGGGGGAAAAAAATCCACCAAGGGCTGTCAGACACAAAGACAACAACTGTAGCTAATGAGGTCCTCGGCTGAAAATCATTAGAAACATTCTGAGAAAGTATCACTACATGCTTACCCTGTTAAATCTTTCTTAGCTCATCCTGCAGCTGATGGCTTTCAGACACAGGATGCTGGGCTTTCATCTGACCTACTACAAGTGCTTTTATGATCTTAAGCAATGTGAAACACATCTAACGCAAGAGAAAGCACACACGTCTCTTCTGGATAGACCAAAACTTTAAAGGATTGAGAACTTCTGGCCTAGTGTTTTCCTCAGAAGGCTAGGCGCTAGCATATGCTAATAAGCCAAGAACAGACACTTCTGCTCCTTTTCCACAACAGATGAAATGGATGAAGCTGGGACTTCAATTAAGTTCTATACTTGCAGTACAATTCCGTCAACATTTTCAAAATAGGTCTCCTACAACTTCAAATTCGAGATCCTAAATACCACGTATACTCAAACATCAAAGGAAAGAGATGGTTAAACCTTTTTTTAAAAAATTATTTTAAAAGCGTGTAATAGTTCTACGGATGTACCTACATGAATTAAAGTCCACTTCAGTTAAATATATTTAAGGTGAAATATAAGTTCAGCAATGATGCTGGGACATTGCAAAGAGGAAGAGGAGTTAAATTACTACCTAGAATTACAAAGAAAGACTGTAGATATAAACATTCTATTAAGAATGTCAGTGACTTTTTTTCTCTTACTACAAGTATGGGTAAAAGGTTAAAGAATGCAAGAAACACACATGTAGGTATGAATTCTTTCCCTTTATTATCACCTAAATGTTCGTGAGTACTACAAAATAAATACAAAGAGCCATAATGCTAAAAAGTTGTTATTGAATCTTCTTTCTTTCCAACTTTGAGGTATTGAGTGTAAACTGTTCAACATCTTTAAATGGCGAAGAACATAAAAACACCGTCACAGACTGTTAGCTCCGTTGATTCTGCCCCTAAATTAGTATTATTCAAATCAAAACTCACACAAGTATTAACACGGTGCGTGGAAAATAATAACGCTAGAGTATTTTCTATTGATGAAAGAAAATATTCCTTTCCTTGCAGGATAATATTATGCATACTCTTCACGCACATAAAACCGTGCCCGTGCAGAAAGGCGTTACACCGTAAGGCTGTACCAATACACTTAAAGATCTGTACGCTAGAAGATGTGGAGACGACGGAGGCTAGGGAAACCGCTCCGAGTTTCCCCAGCGCGCCCTGCAGGTTCAGTTCCGCAGCCTCCGGCGAGGCCCCGCCGACGCCAGAGCCCGGCACCTGCGGCTTTCCGTCCCCGAGCTGCTGCGAGGACCCTGCCGGCACTTCGGTCTTAAGGCGGCTTCCCCCTGAGGCCGTGCCCCTTCCCCCCCGCCCCTGCCACACCGCTCCCGCCTAGAAGGGGTTTCGGCAGTTAAACCGCGGGACGCCACCG